TCAACACAAAAGGATTGAAATGTGACAGTAACTCAATAAGAGATTAAATAAAATAGAGTCAAGTCATACAATAAAAATCATACATAAACTTGAGAGAATACTGAAATCCATTAGATAAAACAGAACAAGATCCTCATACATCAGAATGAAATAACTCAAAACTATCACTAACTCTTTTATTAATTCTGAGAACATAAGACAAACGATGATATTTAGCAAATTAACAGGACTAGCAATTTGAAGATGATAATTGTTAAAAATGAGTAGAACTTTTTTAGCATTGATAATGATAGATGTCTTAATTGACAAAAGACTTCAAACAAGGAAAAGGTATTGAAACAGGCTATGGTCGAGGCAGTTCGTTATCAAAGATGTATAACCCCCCGGATTCTCTTCCTATACTAGTAATCTTCTTCGCCGCAATATCTTGAAAAAGACTATGGTCAAGGAAGAATAAAATAAAATAATTAAGAGTACATGTAAACTTGCTAATAAAAACAATATTAAAAGAGTATTGAGGTAAATCAAGGACAAAATAAAGGTACTAAAAGTGTAACATTAATGGTCCCGAAGCCAATAACATTAGAGGTAGATCCATTTGCAAAAGTGACGAAACAAAATTAATTATGAAAGGTGGAAAAGAGTTTTTTTATTACCTTTCATGTGATTTGTGGCACCATAATCAATAGTTCATTTAGTGGAAAAGAAAAGAATACAAGTATCATTGTTACCTGACTCAACAGATGGTGGGTTATAGAGAGAGATTTCTTGGATGCTTCATGAAATTGTATAAATTCAGCATATTCATCTACACAAATCGAGTCTGACTCAGAGAGACATCATTAGAGTGATCATGTGAGCTTACTGTGATCTAGAATCCTTTTGTTTCTTTTTTTAGCAACTTCTCACATGTTCTCTTTATATGACCAAGTTCATAGTAGTAATAGCAAACTACTCTTTAAGCCTTGATTTCCAAAATTCAAAATTTCACTTTCATAATTGCCCTGAGATTGAGGTTTACTAATGTCTATTTTTTTGGCTACCAGAGCACTAGGTTCTTTTACAGATGAAGCCTAAGAACTCAAAATAGTACATAATACTCTAGTTTAGGCTTCCCTCAGAGCAATAAACCAAGGTCAGATAAAATCTTTGATTTGAAACATTCATTCTAAGAACTGAGGCTAACTAGAAAAATCATAATAGTCATTTGTTCTCTTTAAACATACTAAATCCGAACATGAGTACTAATGGGCAATAGTGCATTCAATTCTTCATAAACACGTTTAAAGTACATGTGATATGTGTTAAGTGCGTGATTATGTTGTTCAGCTTGATAGAACTCCTTGCATACATTAAAGATTTGAGAAATATTTTCTCTATCAAAAAACACAAATGTCAATTCTTCCATTGCATGTTTAACACAATCACAATGAGTAACATGATCATATTGATTAGGTTCGATACAATTACGTATTTGTATCAAAAGTTGAGCATTAACTCTCATCCACTCAGAATAGTTCGGATCAGTCTCAACTGAGGGATTCTCAATGAGCTGTCTCTCTTGGGAGTTATTTCTAAAGTAGAGTAACAGTTATATCCCCACAAAAAACAACATATGTCATATTAGTTTTCGTCGGAATTTTCGAACACTAATAATACCAAACTTATCACACCAATCATGATTATCACCAAATGTTCAAAGAAATTGACTCAACTAATCCCAGTGATGTTGATATCGTCGTCTGTTTTGGGCAAACCAAAGTCAAATCGCTTCTCGTATGGACTCAATGCAACAACACAGACGAGACGACTCAGTTCGAAAGAGACACAATCGAAGCCAAAGCTATAGCCTATCTTAATCTCTCGCACCCAGAAAAGAAGATCGTTCAAAGAATCTTCGTGACAGCATGAGCTCAAGCCAAAGAAGCCAAATTAGTGTTTGAACGACCCAAACGAAGATGAAGCCAAACCAATCCGCAAATAACTTCGAGCCGTGTGTTCGATCAATTTGTGACGAGCAAATTGTTCAACCAAAAAAAAAGCAAGGGTTCCAGCTTGAAAGGGACGACCTCGATCGGAGCTAGGTACGACCTTGGAGGAAGACTGAGGGCTACGGCACGTACAGGAGCTAGGGACGGCCTTGACAAAAGTAAGGGATGGCTCTAATACCATGTAAAGAAAAACAACTCTTTTTCTTATTCATCAATTGAAAACATGTATTACATATTTAGATACACTCCAATCTCTATAGATTAAGAAAATTATAATAGAAGAAAGAACTTGTAATTAGATCTCCTCTAATTAGGTTATTTATTGATTATATTTTTTATAATCAAGCTTTCTAATATACGAGCTTTCTAATATAAAACTACCATATCTATTACTTTCCATAACAAGTACATTTGGAAAGAATTTATATTTTTAGTTCATTGATTACCATCTATGTCGGGCCTATTATTTGATAGAGAAGTACCACTTAGACGGCCTTGACAAAAGTAAGGGATGGCTCTAATACCATGTAAGGAAAACCAACTCTTTTTCTTATTCATCAGTTGAAAACATATGTTACATATTTAGATACACTACAATCTCTATAGATTAGGAATATTTATAATAGAAGAAAGATCTTGTAATTAGATCTCCTCTAATTAGGTTATTTATTGATTATATTTTTTATAATCAAGCTTTCTAATATACGAGCTTTCTAATATAAAACTACCATATCTATTACTTTCCATAACAAGTACATTTGGAAAGAACTTATATTTTTAGTTCATTGATTTCCATCTATGTGAGGCCTATTATTTGATAGAGAAGTACCACTTAGACTGTGAGCCCAATAATTTTAGCATATAATGTTGACATGCAAAAAAGAAGCATAAAATTAAGTGTTGTTGTAAGAATACTCAGGTTGATGAGTGTCCTTACACTTAGAGAGAAAATGTGAAATGAATATATTCATGAAACGGCTGGAGTAGCTCCACTGGCAGAGAAGATTAGAGAGAGTCGCCTTAGATGGTCTGGTTACATTAAATGCCGGTCGTCTGATGACCCACTTAGGAGGGTGGATATTTTAGATTTAACTTATGTCAAAAAGGAATAGTTGTGCCTAAAAAAGACTTGTGCTTGTGGTATAAAAAATTATCTTAATTTATTAAAATTAAATGAAAATATGTCACTTAATAAGACAATGCAGAAAAATAATTCATGCAGCCAACCCCACTTAGTGGGAAAAAGGCTTGTTGTTGTTGTTGTCAATATTATTGATGTTATTATTGTATTAATTTTCATCTATGGTTATAAAAATCAAATGAAAACAGACATGGTAAAAAATTTTGAATCTAAGGGGCTATCAGGTAACGGATTTAAGTTGGATTTAGCATAAATCTTGTAGACAAGAACAAAATGCAACTTATCAATCTAGGATTTAGTAAATCCTAGTGTTTCACAATTCCTTCACAGCTTTGCTTGAAATCTAATATTCACTAAAATACTGTTATTGGCAGGATTTAGTTAGGTCTGCATTTATAGCATTTACTGAATCCATTACCAGACAGCCCCAAAAGTAGATTATGGATTTTGAAGTCAAAAAATATGGCACACTTCTCAAAAAAACAAATCAAACAAAAGAATATAGATCAATTAGATTTTAATTCTCCATCAAGTGTGATCCACTAAAATTCACTGACAAAACATGATTAAAGTGCTCCATTGTACCAAATGAACCCACTGTCCAACTCTACATAAGAAAACATCCCAAGCAAAATTTTACGACTGAACTCCATTTTGTAACAATATACAGTGGTTCGTAACTTTATTGTTTGTGTTACTGCATATAAAATCATTTCTTTTCCCAAACATTCTTTCATTTTTACATGAATTCTCTTATAGACAAATAGGCACCTCAATGACTATAATTTCTCCTAGGTACGCAAATTTATCCCCAACATGAGCACTCCATTCCCAAACAGAACATCAATGGAAGTGTTAAGTAAAACCGCCTGTGATTGCAAATTAAAGAAATAACCTGAGCTTTTCTAAAAGCCCAAGAGTTGTTTTCCCAGTTATATGGTTCAGACAAATTATCAAATAAGAGCTACAAAGAAAAAAAAAAAGGCAAATAACAATGAAATAGGAAAAAGAAAGCACACAGCTTGTGTACCCAGGGCAACAACAAATTAGTCTCCGAATGAATATATATATATATAATATATAGATATAGATATATCAATGAAAAGCTGAAGTAGCTCAACATTCCCTACTTCCCAATGTTGATTACTTGTATATAAGCTGTTTCCAAAAGGAAGCAGACCAAAAAACATAAGACATGTCAATTTTCAGTCTGATATGCAGAAATGGGGTCAAGCTTTTTGGCTGATCAGCTTAAATAAAAAATAACAAAACACTAAAATCCTGCTATCCTGAACTTTTTTGGATACGAAGAGAACAACCTTTAACTACTAAAATATCACTCCGCTATTGACTTTCTGGCTAATTAAAAAATAATTTATTATTGGCATCAAACTCACAGCCTCCTTAACTAATCAACTGACTGAACTCCCAAAAAGCTGCTTCACCTGAGGAAAATAGAAGTGTGCATCCAATATAACCATTCTACCAATATTATTAATGTGTAAAGCAAAGAAGCGGACATGCATAAAACAATGGATAAATTCAATTAAGCTTAAACACATAACCATAAATGTGGCAGATACTAGATAGATGAAGCCTTAACCTATCATTTCAGATGTTTGCTGAAAATCTATATCCTTCATCCTTTTATTTATTTTTCTTTCAAGAGCTAACATGCACAACGAGCAAACAAACTTCTTATTTCATCTATGGATATTTAAATACACAGTGAAATTACCCATTTATATTAATTATTGATATTATATACATTTTAAAAACGAGAATGTGGACTTGCATGCAAACCTCAGACAAAAAAAAGTATCTAACTAAAAACAAAAGCCCAATCATGGTCAGCAAGAAGATATTACCTCTCAGGTTCTCAGGCAAAGCAACAAATTTCAGGCATACAGATTTAAGTTGTTGACAGTGATGCTGCTCAGCTAAAGCCAAGGTAGTTGCAACTGTGTTTATAGCAGCATCTTCACAAAGCTTAACCTCACAGAGCAAGCGAAGCCTTTCCAAAGCATATCGATCAGCAGCTGCAAGCAGATGCTGAGCCATTAATGTGGAAGCACATTTTGCACTAAGACCAGTAAGCTCCTCAATGTCAGGCAGGGTATCCCAATAAATGAAATGGAGTAAAGCCTGCCAAAAAAGAGTATCTTGTAAATTGCAACAATTTTTATGAAAATTTTCTAGAACTGCAAAAAATGCAATGACATGAATCATAGGCATGACAACTAACAAAGCTGGTTTGGGTGTGGTCGTGGTATAAAGGGCAGGGCAGGGCAGGGCTGTTCAACACAGGATATTGCCAATGGGTGTGCCAAAACAGTGCCTAGAAATATTGTGGAACAAACCGATGCATTGCTGCCAATTTTAAGCGCCAATTTCTCTGCGAATTTTCATTCTTTTCTCTTATGAAGCCTCTTGAGTACATCGAGCTCCCTACCATATCTATGTATGAAAACGCATGTATGTAAGTGCATATATGCATATAAAACTATGTGTGTATGCCATGCATGCACCTTTATATATAATAACTAACAGTTCCATCAAACATAAAAAAAACACACTGTGAAGCACAAACAGGAATATGTCCAGAAAATCTTAACAGTGTGTATGTGTGAGAGAGAGGGAGGGAGGGAGAGAGAATATATACAAGATTGCTTAGCCTGTGTCAAACTTATGTCCATAAAATGGCATCATTTTGTCTATGTGCTTTGCAATAAACGCTAAAAACTTCTTCCAGAAAATATAAAAAGTGAAATATGCCAAATGGCCTGACCAACAAATGCCCAAAAGTATTAGTCTCAAATACACTGGTTGGGATGTAATCAAGCTCAACAAAGCCAAGCATGCTATGAATTAGACTTCGCTTGATCATATTGTTCATGTTTGGCACAAGCACAAGCCAAGCATTCTATGAATTTGATTTGTCTTGATCATATTGTTCATGTTTGGCACAAGTACGAGCCAACCTTTTGCACGTGTTCATCCTTGGTTTTCTTAGAATTACCTTATGATTGAGGTTGGCTTGAATTTTGCTTGCGTAAATTAATTGAACAACCACTTGAGCGAGTTAAAAAGCAAGCTCGCAAATAAATAAGTATTAAATAATTACAAATGCAACCATCATTTAAAAAAAATAAAATTTTAAATAAACAAATAAAAAAATAAATTTATAATTAAAATCTAACTATTTGAAACTAATTAAGTAAGCACCAATTAATACAATAATAGCAAAACTAAAAAAGAGCCAAGGATTGAAAATAATGAATTAATTTTCTATGGAGGAAAGCAACATCTCACTAGTTGGAGTAAAAAGAAGACATGAGAGTTGCGAGCTATGATGGTTTTATGGTATATTGCAGAAAATGGGTTGAGGGCCAAAAAAGTGTATCGATTACAGGCCAAAAAAAAAGAAAAAAAAAATAAACAAACAGAAGCAGATGAACTCATCTCTAATTCTCATACAAGCATGCTCTGAAACTTATGTATGCATGTCGAAGAAGATGTGTTAATGGCTAAGATGGAGTGACTGCAAGACGGACAAAATGTGATCACCCCCAAAATGCTTGGATTCTCAACATGTGGACAATTTTCACTACCTCAAGGGGCCAAAGTATGGAGATTGAAATGATAAAAATAAGGAATAATATGTTAAGAAAAATAATAATGGCAGAAGGTAACATAGGCTCATAAATAATTATGTAATATATTAATATTAAAATAATAATAATAATAATTTGAATTTAAAATGTTCAGTAAATAGCATACATTTCATCATCGAGCCTAATATTAAAGCTTTAACAAGCTCTTTGTTGAAAAACAAATAAGTTCATGAACATAAATAAACAAATTGGACTATGATCGAACTAAGTTCATTTAAACTATGAGCAATGCTTGAACTTGTACGATTACTAATCTGTGCAAACATAAACAAGAGTTAATCTAGTTGACTTCGAGTTGTTGATAGAGTTCATTGATTCTTACTGTCCTAAACTTCAGTAAAGATTTAGACTTCATAAAGCATCTACCTTCAAGAGCATTTCACCATAAAAGATCTTCTGATGACAGTGGCTATTATTGTTACCGAAACAATCACAACGTTGAAACTACAAAAAAAGTTTTGAAAAGGCTCACTCATATTAAATGATGCCAACGAAATCACTATTTTAAAATAGAGTATAGTGAAAACCTAAGAATTTTAAAATTTAGCTTTCTAATAAAGATTGATCAAGTTTCAAGTTGTATTATTTAAAAGATGTGTTATTTATAACAACAAAATTTCTTCAAAACAACTTTGTGCCTCAGAAAATAATTTCGTTGAATTTTCTACACTATATATAGTAAAGCAGAACCACATGCTGTGGTTCTCAAAGCAACATGAAAATACAATCGAGTCATTGCATTGTTTCAAATAATGTGAATTTTCTATAAATTCACCATTTCATAAATTAGAGATCAGTTACCTAGTTTATGCTTGTGTCGGTTGAATATACTACAAGAATTTTGTTGTTGGTAAAACTAGTACTGACTTCAAAGACAAGCTTGCCAAAAACAGTTAATATTCCCAACATTGAATTTACTTTCAAGCCAATCAAAAATATAAGAATCTATCAAAGGATCTGCATTTAAAGTGTTAAAGGTACACAATTATGCTTCTTTCATGGTGTTGATTGCAACCATCATCCATCAAACCCTCTTTTAAGTAAAAGTCAAAAAAAAAAGTAGAACATGAATTCATTAAAATCCAAACAAAGTTAACAAAATTGTGACAATTATGAACAGTTGAAATTGAAGTGACAGTAATAATCTGAGTTTTTTTTTTCTTTTCTTTTCTTTTCTTTTAACATAAAGATTAATGTAGAGTACAGGCTTCCTCAGAAGAAAGCAAATTTAAATAATTCCTAGCCTGATGCTAACATTTATCCAAATAGCACATAATGAAAGACATGCTTTTCAAATTTAGAAAGTAAATAGCACTATAAATTCAAACCAAGGTTTATATACTCATCTACACTTCTTTGCAACCAAAATAAGTTTATGTTAATGAAAAAAAAAAACATGCTAATGAATGCTAAAAAACAAAAACTTAAGAAATTTGCAAAGATGGTATTCATAGTTGCCTAAAAACTTTAGCCTCATAATTTAAATTTCATCAATCTAAGAAATACCTTGAAAACTGGTGCTTCCATTTCATCCACTTTTATACAATCTTTGTCCCTGTCCTTCATTGGACCATAAAATTGGGCCATGAATACAGGAGAGCGAGCTGCAAGGACCAGCTTGTGTGCAGTAAAAATCTCTCCATTAACATCAAATCTGACGTCAGTACCTTCAACTGTCTCCAAAAGCTGACCAAAATGCTCATTTATATTGGATGGTGGGACAGGAATGTCATAGACCTTTGGCCCCTCAGTATGTGATTTGACTACACCAACACTACATCTAACTGAGAGGCAATCATCTTTGAGATAATCTGATTCCTCTAAAGCGGTTCTTTTGAAAAACCGTTTATAGCCCCTAAATGGTTTAGAGAGAGAAAAAGGTTAACATTTGTAAATTTCTATAAGCTCAAACTTGATAGACCACATTCATAGTGCAAAGAAACATATAATATATGTATAAAAGGACAAATTTTTAAGAAAGAAATTCAAAGACACTTTAAAATACAAAGACTACTCTAATTAAATGGATTAATGCAGTTATTCAAAGAAAAATTTCATGAATGCAAGAGATGCATGGAATATGCAAATGTCTTTGAAGGGCTTTTCACCATCATATAATATATACATGAATAAATTCCAGAATCAACTTAAAAGAGTAAAATCAGGTCATCATCAGTTTCATTACATTAGCCCAACACTATAACATTATAATTCTCCTTCATTCATTTTTTTAATAAGTGCTATATGAGGTGATAGCTCTCCCACGAGCCTATTTGCACTATTTCGACCCATGTTATTGTTGATTGACAGACTTCCCATCCAAGTAGGACCCCAGTAAATATATTCACCGACCCTATTGATAGGTCATATGTCCTTTATTGTAAATTCCCAAAATCACTCTATCTTAATTTTTGAAAACTTTATTTGTAATGGTTGTTACTTGCATTGATCTTCTCAATATAATGATTTCATCCTATACTTATTATTTTCATCTCATAACCATCTTAATAGCCTCATTTCTACCGCACTTAGCTTCAAATTTATTGACATTTTAATGCAAACCACTCAAAAATCATAGCGGAAAGCTGGTTTAATTGTACTTTTATAAATTTAAATTAAAGTTTCCTTAAAATTCACATAAGATAATAATCCCAAGGCGGCTTTACCCCACATTAACCAACCGATTTTCAATTAAAAAATTATTTCCTCATTTGGCCCCCATTCATTTGCATAATAAATCAAAGATACTTAAACCAATCATTTGATCTATTGACACTGGTGATGATAGATATTACTTACTAGCATGAGTAACAAACAAAGAAAAAATATATATTGCTAGTAAAAGTGTGAACTTGATAAGGTCATTTATGACTAACATTCATTTATAGGTTTGGTAGATTGTGCTCGGAGGAATGGTGCCTAGAGGAATTTTAGTAGAAAAAAGATTTCCCAGAAAATCCTGGAGAATCTCGAAAATATACTACTTTATATGGATTAAAAACAATGATAGGATGCAGCCACCAAATACTAAGATTTCTTTTAGATACAAAAGCAAACAAAATGGCAAATCCACAATAGAAGCATGCAAATGAGACTGGCATTTTTTTTTAAAAAAAGAGATATTTTGAATTGAAAAATGGCCAAATAACGAAAGGCTGAGAAATTTTTCCGTGCAAAGAATGCAAAAATGAAAAGTTCTATTTCTACTTCTCTTAGTTTGACTAAAAGGCATGGATCCAAATTGCAATAATCTCCAAGTGTTAAAAGCAAAGTGGAGGGAGTAAATGATTACCTTTCTCTCCTTCACGTTGAATGCATTGCTTTAGGAAAGATGGTTTTCAAAAATAAAAAGTAGCAACTAGGTTATCCTTTGCACTCCCAACCATCAGGCAGCTCCACAAAATTTGAGGGATTTTGAAAACAACTGACAATTAGGGTTATAAATGATCAAAGCCAAGCAAAAAATGTGTTTGTCCGAACTCGAGTTCATTTATTAAAAACATGTTCGAGCTTAGTTTGAACTTAATTGGGCTTCTAAAAATGTGCTCAAGATCAAACTTGTTTCTCAATATCTATTTGAGCTCGGTTCAAAGCTTAATTCATACTCAACTTGAACTTAATTCAAGTTGAGCTCGAGATCAATTCATATAACGATTATCTAGATCTACGAGCAACTCATTTAACAAAATAAATGAATAATAATGCTTAAACAGGCATTAGTCAAGGTTTATATGAGTAGCTATTTTGAAAAATAAATTGATCGTATCAAACAAAGTTCATCGAGCCTAAGGAAAAAAATTAAATGATATTACTTATAAACGAGCCATGGTTGGGCCTTAATCTAGCTTCTTAGCAAGCTTGTTTGCGATCTTTAAATGGTACAATTCATGAAATAAATAAATCAAATAAAATTTTGTTTAAGATTATTCATTCAGTAGTCGAGTATGAACGTGCTTGTTCAATTAATTAATCAGACGATCACGAACAAGCTCTAATCAAGCTAAGCCACGAGTAACATATCGACAAGCACTTCAATACTCTTCTTTCCATAATGAACATTGTGCATCATTTAAAGTAAAAATTTGACTAGAATTTGCATTTATAAACAAATTACAAAAATGAGAAAATTTAAGATAATTTAAGATAGTTGTTTATTTATTTCCTTTATTTTCAATCAGAGCATTATAAATGGCTACTTATTAAGCAATGATCGTCCTTCAACAAATCCATAAATTTGAACCAAAATTTAAGTATACAATGGTTCCAATTTGAGACAAGAAGAAAATCAAGCAGATTAGAAAATTATCGTCATAAAAAACTTCAGTTCTACAATGTTTACATGATTTGGGGAAGCATGTAAATCAAAAAGATTGAAAGGCTTATAAAAACTGTTGTCGTAACAATCAAAAAGACTTCAAAAACTAGTGTTTTCATGTGGCTTTGGAGGTTATACAAACAACTTTAAAGTATATGATAAATAAGACACAACCTTCAATAAGAATACCCATATTTTAATAGACTTGCTGAAAGCAAAAAACAGGGATGCTCATAAAAATTATGTAGCAGTTTCAATACATGTATATGGACAAACAGAACAAGCGAATGTGCATTATTCAAGAGGGAAAAGTGATACCAGATTGTCCTTTCTTCCGAGCCGTCCTGTCCAGTGCATCCGCTAGGAAGAATCTCATTTTTCATTGAACTAGTCCAATGTAGGGGTCTTAATTCAAGCCCAGTATATCCTAGTAGGTCTAGTCTTTTCTTCTTTTTTTTATTTTTTCTTTTATTCTTTTTTTTTTATTTTGTATAAAAAGTGATCTAAGATTTCTATTAGGAGTTTTAATAAAATCTGAGAATAATAATTCTCTGTTTTCTCAAAGATTGCAGTGCCGCATCCTACTCTTTCAAGTGGTGCTATGGTTATATCTTGATTTAGTCAGGACCGCCTTCATCCTTGCAAGAGCTCCTCCCCATCCAGTTCCAACCTTTCCTCTGCCAGTTCTCCCTTCAAACAGCCACTATTCTCTCATTCCATCTGCTGATTTCTCCCTCCCAAAGGTATCTCCTCACTGGGTTTGATTTGTGCCTCCATCTTGCCATCAAAAAGGGTGCCAGAAAGACCGGAGATAAAATTACAAGATGACAAAAAAAAGAGACTGGTAAATAGATCCAGTAGTGAAAAAATTTTGATTCTCAGAATAGAAATCTAGCTGAGGTACATAAAGGAGATGAATGACCCAAAAGCACAATCAACAAGACTTTCATCAAATGATTGAATGTGTTTTTCAACTGGTGATATCCTATTAGTCCATCTTAAAAAGCTTCTTTCCAAAAATACAACCAAATCTAACCAAACGAGCATCAAGTTTTAAAAGAAGAGGAATCTATGTGCAACAAACAAATGCATATAAAATACAAGCAAGCAGAATGCAGTGGCATTATAAAGATAACGTACGTGAATTAAAATAAACAGGAGAATTGTGCCTGTAGCCATAGACAAATGAAAACGGTAAATGTCACCATTACGGTTTTCTCGTCAACTAAAAATAACTTTGAAATTCATCTCCAAAGCATAATTCCAAATCAATTATCTCACTATGCAGAAAAAAAAAAAAAAGGTATGAAGGAGATTGGCTAGAAGGGAAGCAAAACATAACACTAAAATAATTAAAATGATAAGTTGTAATCAAGTCATAAGAAAATGTATTATAAAAGAGATTAAACCCCAAAGATTTCCTCACCAATCCTTTAAAAAAAATCCTTGTCAACAATCTATAAAAAAGTACAGTAAAATAAGAAAATGACATGAATGAAATAGCAAAAATTACAAAAAACTCACAATAACCCCAATGAAATGAAAAAATGATAAATATATAGAAATTTTCATTTAGTGATGATTTATTAAATGAAACTGAATATGATTAGTATTGGAATCAATTGTTAACAACAGAAATATAAATTCACAAGTACATAATGCATCCCCGTGGTCAACTTAAATGATAACAAACATATGAGATGCCCAAAAAAGAAACAGTATATTTTTGCTATTGCATGCAAGTGATACATGCCAAACAAAATGCCACAATATAGCGCACAAACAGTTCTTTCATAGTACTAATAGATAAATAAATCATAGTCAAACTTGCATGGCTATGATTAGCTTGGGAAACAATAAACAGGAACATTTGTGCCTCCTAGAATGGCTCTTATCAATAAATGAAAGAAATAATAATAAGCACATATAACAAATTTGTATCTTTATTTCAATAATATGCTTGAAATCTTGAATTAGCATTATCACGGAATCAGTTTGGCAGCTTGATGTTCATCCGATAACATTTTAAATTCATGAGAAATCCATTCCTCATTTTCCATTAACCTTGTGCTTTCAATTCCCATACATCACTCCAGGCACCTTTATTCACTAACATGAACAAATCAAGGTTGAAGTATGCCATTGTTATGGATACACAAGGGAAAGAAAATTCATCTGAACAAACAATACCCTTTCTTTCCAGGTTACCTTGCATTCGAATATCATCAATCAAAATTTACTCTTTTTTTCTTGGATTATTTTTTATTTTACCCAGTCTATACATTAGAGAAAACATCATATCAAGATGCCCTGAATATTTTAAAAGGTGGTGTTACATTTTACATAAACAACAGTGTAATCCAAACAGCAAGATATCATATTTTTCCATCACAAAGATCATATAGTGAATACAAGACGACGCACCAATCAGTAAACAATAGCATCAAATGATCGCAGACCACCTAATTCTTCAAACCAAGACCACAATATGCAAGAATGTCAACCGCAAATCTCATCAACAAAGCATGCCCAAAATTCCACCAAAACCTATAAAAATAAAGATGTATTCATGTAAACAAAAAAAAAGAACAGGCGCAAGCAAAAAAGTCTGATGTAACAGTGCTTATGCATTCACCAATTGTGCAGCTTGAGCCGAATCAAGCAGACATTAAAGCAAAAACAACAGCAGTAGAACCCACACCAATGCTCCAACGTAAGCTTTTACACGCAAGGAAAGACCCCTATGAATGAACAAAAAGAATCATTACATCAATCATATTTCAACTCTACAACTCAAGATTTCTATCAGAATCCTTGCCAACAAAAACTAATTAACAAGAACAGAAGAACCTCTAAAAAAAAGACGCAATATAAAAATTAAAGGTGCTCTAGAACCAGGCTCACCACATGCTCCCACGGTACTTGAGGGTATAGGGTCCGGCTTCCAGATTACGGCCGAAGTGGCTATGAACCTTGTGCAGCTCCTTCCCACTCTGATCGAGCAACGCCAGCTCGAACAGCGCCCTCACGTCCGTTCCCTCGCTCGCCAACGCGATGAATAAAGACACGTAAGACGCCCCATCCTCAGGGCTCTTACCGTCTGGGTAGAAGTAAATCGCCCACGAGTAGCCCCCAACCATGAACATATCTGAGGCGATATATCTGCCGATCCCCAGTCCCTTGGAAAGCGAGTAGCCCGTAATCTTGAAATCGTGCGAACCGTTCACCGTCTGCGTCACGGAAGTCGACGAAGTCTCCGACGGAGGTTGCGCCGAAGTAGATATGGAGGACGATGGCCCATCGGAGGAGCCGCCTCTGCAAATCCTACCTGCTCCCATTCGCCGCCGCAAAAATTACAGGTGGCACAACCGGAGTTGCTTCAGGTGCGGCCAGCAGGATCTATAGTCCGATTTCAGGATGATGGATGACGCTACGACTCTGACGCAAGATAGTACGGGTTGAACTTGGAGTTCGAATCCGGCGGACGCCGCAAAGATCTGGAATCGGTCCCGTACTCCCTCGCAGATTCAAACCCGGCGGAAGGAGATCGGGCAGCTGCCGATAAAATTTCGAGCTAGGGTTTGGTTTTCGAGAGGAATCGATACAACATTAACATGGGAGTTAAATTGCTGATGATTAAAGCTGTCAAGTAAAAAAAAAAAAAACTCTCCTTCTTTTTGTTCATTAGCTGAATCCAAATAAAATTTTTTAGTCCAATTTATAAATAAATTAAATATAATTTTAAATTTATTTATTCATGAACAAAAAATTTTGATTTGAAATAATTAAATAATACTTTTTATTTATTATTTTGTATATTAATTTTTAATATGTATTTAAAAAAATGTTAAATTTAATTATTTAAATTTTTGTTTTAATGTTATAATTATAAAAATATAAATTTAGGTGTTAGATATGTAAATAGATAGGACTTGGGTGGTATGAATGTAAAAACATGATTTTTTTTATGGTATGTGTGGTGTGTAAATGTCCCTCAAATGTGCTTCTCCATTGTTGCATGAAATGAGAATGATGAGTTGGTTCCATAAATTAGGTGTTAGATATGTAGATGGATGGCATTTGGGTGGTATGTGTGTAAATATCCCCAAATTTAGATGGAATTGAGAAATGACGAGAACACGAGAAGCGACCATTAGTCCCGCGTTGGGAACAAAAAGAACATTTTTTGCAGAAAGACTTCATGCATGAAAAATCTGAACGACGGAATTTAAACATCTAAATCGATTCAATTAAAATTAACATTTTACTTAATTGAAAAATAATAATTTACTTACGTTTGGGACTACAAACAAAGTTCAATTTGGGCACGGAAGGATTAATTTGAAAGATTTTGAAGATCCAAATGCATTCGTGTAGTCCTTTTTTAAAAATAATGCTCCATCAAAAAAAAAATTATGTAAAACTATTTTTATGCATGAAAACTCAAAACAAAAAATTTTATGGAAAAAGTTGTGTGTTCATTATTAAACTAACTTGCATACTTCTTATATATGTAATAAACATCATGTGACTTACAAAATGAATTTTTGATCTTTGAATTAGTTTATGGAAAAAGCGATAATTTTGGGATATTAGGAGCACAATTCATGCGTGAAAACTTGAAGTTAAAAGTTTTACGTAAAAACTAAGTTAAATAATCGTCAAACCTATTTGCATGGTCTTTATACGTGAATATAGATTATGAAATTTTCAAAATGAAGTTTCAAGCTCTGCAAAAATCTGGGATAAAATGATAATTTTAGTGTGCAGGTTGGTTAAAGCTGATTTCTATGTTAATTTTAGGATTTAGCTGAAGTTAGTTATATTTGATACTATTTTGATTTAGTTGATTTTAATTTCTAATTAGTTGGATTTTAATTTTAGGTTTAATTATGTTAAGCCAAAATTTTAGCTAAAGTAGGTTCAAAATATAGCCTATCCAAGCTTAATTCAATCATCTGGTGGGACAAGGAGAAAAGTCATATGTTCTGATGAGATAAAATATAAACCTGGGAAAGGGTTGATCAAAAAGTAAGGTCAACAAATGAACCCCCAATATATCTGGCGGACTATGCAAAGTATGGCGCACATATTGAAATTGGTCGAAATGACCAACAAGTCCTTGAAGGAAAGTGTTAGTACACATGATTTGAGTTTTGAATGATTTTGAGGATTGAAATTTTATTTGAGTCTTTGAAAATTGGAAGATTAACATTTGTGATTTATATGTTACATATCAATGAAATCCAATAAAGACTCACGAGGATTTGGATAATTGTTGTTTGAAAGAGTTTAGTTTGAAACATTAGAGAAAGAAGCCATTGGGGAACTTACTCTTAGCCTAATGAAGGCAAATAGAGCAAATATGAGGATGGTGTGGTGATCACATAATCTTAAATATAAACAAGATTGGAATTGTGTTACTAAAACACAATAGGATGAAAAGTACAGAGACTCTCATCCAACAAAAGAAGTGAATATGATAATAAGATCAGGATTGAAAGCAAAAGGACTCTCGTCCAATCTGAGAGCTAATCAAAGGGGAATTTAATTAACTTGAACATATTTAGTTGGAAAGCCCAAGGATTCACATCAAACCAAAGTGATAAACATGATGATTAGATTATGATAAAAAGCACAGGAACTCACATCTTACATGAGAGTTAACCGAATGGGAATTTAATTTGATAGTTTTGTATATATTATGATGGAAAGCACAATGACTCACATCCAATCAAAGAGGTAAATAAAGTGATTAGATCATGATAGAAAGCATAGGGACTCTCATCTAATGTGAGAGTTAATCAATAACTTGAAAGTGAACCATAGGGCTTTAGGTACCCAAGGGTTTTTCTGCAATGTTTAATGACTAACCCTAGAGAGTATTCATAGGAACTCTATAGTTGACTTACTTAGTCAAGACATTGATATGATGGATCAACCACAGTGAAATAAGATAAATGAACCGGGAGGGAAAGAAAATTGTTTTCCAATTTTGTATTCAATGGATAAACCAAGAAAGGTTCCTGAGGTTGGCTCCTAACATGTTCTTTTTTAGCTAATGCATTGCCCTACTGAATCTGGCACCCCATCAAAGCAATGAACTTGATCAAATCAAAATGGTGCCACGAAGGGAGTAATCCAACACCAAAGAAGCAAGTTGGCCTATATGATGTCTAGTTCAAGGTATACATGGACACTACACTCTTAACCCTTAGGTATTTAATGATTGATATTAGAGAGTATATATGCTAACTCCACTAGACTTACTCAGTACAGAGGCCAGTTTTTGTTGAGGTTGATTTAGTTGATAAATTAAAAAACTCAAGAAAGAAAAGATAGATTTGGTTTACGATGAGCTACACGGAGAAAAGAGTTGTTAAGGGACACATATCCTTAATCAGAATTACTAACCCAAAACACTAACCTACATACACAGCCACGATTGGCTCAAGATCAATGAACTTGATCACAATGTGATGGGGCCACAAACAACTTACTCCAACACCAATTGATCCATAAACTAAACTTGTTAAGGGCTATTCAAGGAAATTTTAGATTTAACCCCTCTTAACCTTGAGGTGTTTAATGACTGACACTAAATTCACATGGACTCCACACTAGACTTACGTAGTCAAGGCATAGACCTGCATTTGGTAGAGTTTAAGAACCCAAGAAAAGATAAAAATTTTAATTGTAAAGGATTTCAATAGACTTTACATTCAGAAATGCATCATTAGTCCAATCCTATATTTATGAGTCTAAAGTATTAGGTTTCTTGAACTTAGGAATTTAACATAATTAGCAATTTGTCAATCGTTTTAAGTATAATCCACACTAGACTTGGTACGACACTTCTAACCCATAGGTTTTAAATAACTAAAACCATAAATAGTCATTTGGACTACGTTGGGCTTACTCTACCAAGACAGAAATGCTTGTCGAGGCCAGTTTAGTCAAGAAAGCTGACGAACCCGTGAAAGGAAAGATACTGTTAGGGATGAATTACAATGATAAAAAAGTTACTTTGGGACAAATACTTACTCAGGCTTACTAACCTAAATATCTGACTTGTGTAGTCATTATTTCACTTAAGTGGGGTATATTAACCTAATATCATCATGATGGTGTCACAAAGGGGCTTGCTCCAACAACAATGAATCCAAAAAAGAAGTGTATAGTTTGTGATGGGCACATCAAGAAAGGAACTGTTGAGGGACATATCTCTACTTAGGCTTACTAGCCTAAAGAACTAACCAACATAATTAGTATTTTACTAAATTAAGGCTAATTAACATGATCATATTGCCATTATGCCACAGAGAACTTGCTCCAATACCAATAGATCCCAAAAAAAATGAAGTGTGAGGCCGCACCGAGAAAGGAGATTTTTAGGTATACATCCTTACTTAGATTACTGACAGAAAGAATTGACTTCTCAGATCAATCTTGACAGAATCAAGGTCAGTTAACCTGATTGCACCATGATTATTTCGTAAAGAGCTTGATCTGACATTGATGCAACCCAAAGCTAAACTTATGGAAATGTTTGAATAAAGTCAAACTAGGTATAGCAATCCTAACCCTAAAGTTTTTAATGACAATAGCCGCACAAAATCTACACTAGAATTACTCAACTAAGGCATAGACCTGCATAATTAACATTTCAACTAAATTGAGACATGTGAATCTGAAAAAGAGCAAATATATATTTTGATTCCTACATTAAGATAGGAAGATATTGACCTACTAAGCATATCAGGCACAATACGATCAACAAAATATAATAAAGAAAAGGCTAATATTGATTTCAAAGACCTTATCAAATTAGGATGAAAACCACAAAGACTCACATCCTACTCAAGGAGGTAATAAGGGTGATTAGGTTAGGTTAAAAAGCATAGGGACTCACATCTAACATGACATCTAATTTATGAAAACGAAAACCCAACGGGACTTTACATCAAACCCAAAGAAGATTGATTTTATTGTTGTTTGGTTTAAAATTTTTTATAAGTTTTGTTTTAAATTTTTTATTTTAGTTTGAAGGTTTTTTTTTATTTTGGTTTGAAGATTATTGATTTTTTTTGGAGATTTTTTATGTTTTGTTTGTAGATTTTTTATGTTTTGTTTAGAGATTTTTTATGTTTTATTTTGAAAGTCTTTTTTGGGTTTGATTTAAAGTTTCAGACATAGTGTCAATTTTAAGAGTTTCAACATTCACATTTAAAGAAGTTATTTTAAAGTCATATAAACATTACCAAATTGAAAAATATGATGCCCATAGCATCCCTAAATTTAGTCACTGAAATTTTTATTCCTTGAACAAAGAGCACAAATTCTAAAATGTTTTCATGATAGAAAAATATATACAATAACCGAATATAATAACAAAGTTTCATAAATGACTAATGACATCCACAAGTATACCAGCATATACATAAAAAATAGACAATTATTATAATAATCCTCAAAGTCATATCTTCAAAGTGTGAGATGAATAATGGTCTACAAATCTTCATCTGGAGTGTAGTTCTAGAGAATCTTGGAACTCCACTTCTTTTAAAAGATGATAGAAATTATCTTATGAGGGAAACAGGCTAAGTCATCTCCATTTCCCTTAATGACCAACACTAAACCTCTAGGCAAGA